GTAATTAAAGTGTTTTAGTTACCAAACTTGTGAAATATTTACAGCGCCAAAACCAAAAGAAAGAAAACGACTGCACTAGACTGGGCAAACAAGCCCCAGTTCAACGTGCATCAACTAAGACTTCTAATGTCTCACACCTAAGACAGACATACTGGATGACCAAAACTAGCAATCTAGACAGGATATGAGTTTAACAGTTGAATGTAAGCTGCTAACTTAGGGGTTAGATTCGCTCTGAAATAAACCTCTTGAACGATCAATCTGATAACAACATCTGTTGTCTTCTCCTTGTTCTGAAAGATCCTGTTATTCCTCTCTTGCCATAAGCAGGGGTGTACGTAGCCCGATAACATCGGGTTCATCGGGTATAAATTTATATGCAAAAAATCACTAAAATCGCAATAAATTATAGATAAACTTATATAATGAGCAGGGGTGGCTGAATTATAAGGCCACTAAAGCAATGGCTCCGGGCCCCAACTTTTTTGGGGGCCCTGCTTTTTTTAAAAAGATGTATTCTATATATTATTTTTTGAAAAAATCGTACATATTAAAATATTTTTGATTTCTTATTTATTGGTAAAAAATTAAGATCACTAAGAATCTAAAAAAACATTGTCTTAACCTTGAATTTTCTTTAAAACATAATAGTTATTCTTATATTGATGGTTTAGATTTATTTTTCGAATAAAAAGTGTTAAGAGAAATAAGAAAAGTAGAAGATAATGATCTAATCTAAATACCCAATCAAATAAAAAAATATTGATTCTTTTCTAAATACATATATTGCTTATAGAATAATGTTAAAGTTCCCGTAACTATTGCCTCAATCGAAAGAAATTTTTCAAAATTAAAATTGATAAAATCTTATCTAAGATCAACAAATGTTCCAAGAGAGATTGAATGGATTAGATATATTATCAATTCGAAAGGAATTATTAGAACAAATCGATTATAAGATATTATTAATGATTTTGCATGTAAAATTACTAGAAAAGTAGATTTAATAAAAATATATATGATGATCTTTCTATTTTTGTAAAAATAAAATAAAATCTAGGGCCTCTCTGTGAAGCTTGGCTTTAGGCCCCCAATCTTGTTGAGTCGGCCCTGATAATGAGTTCAGTAGCAAGAAATTAAAGATTGAACTTGTAGAGTTTAAATCTTGAACCCGCCTCTGGGCATAACTAGTATACAACTGCCGCCAAAGTGACTCTATAAACACCAGCACTTGCACTTTTTCCTTTACACACCCTTTCAGCCCTTCAGATCTCATCTTTCCACTGCAAATTGTCCCTGGTAATACCTTGCCACAACAATAGCTTTTTCCATATGAAACCAGCTATCTCATAGCCAAAAAATAGATGTTGGATAGTTTCATTTTCCAGGTTGCAGAGTCGGCAGAGTATTTTTAACCCTTCTGGATGAACTAGAGCACCTATTGAGCCAGCATTAAAGTACAGCCCGATCCACTAAGCTCCCGCTATGCGCGGGGTTAGAGATTCCTAGTTACATGATAACAACTTTACCAGTTACGCCAAAGCTCCCTTTTGAGCAAGCATTATGTTATGATATTTAAAATTTTGAAAGGAAAAAAAAATTGTACTATGTTCCTATCACCTATACAAAAAAAAAAAAAAAAAAAAAAAAAAAAAAAATTGGAAAAAACTTAGACCACGAAATTTGTAAGAATCCTTTGAAAACTAAAGAAAACTCATAAACCTTTTGTTTTTAAGGATCAATATTGAATTGGGGATTGTACTAAGAAGCATAAGATCAGTTTGCTCTCAGCATAACCTCATATAATTGTTTAGAGGGAATGTTGGACAGGGCTTACTACTCAACGTTACTTCAGAGGGTGAAGTTAAAGTGCTAACAGAGGAAGCTGAAGGTCTGAAATTCAAATTGGCAGACGCCGTAGACATTGCAGAGGATGGCATGATATACTTCTCGGATGCTTCCTACAAATACAAATTCAAGGACTATATTTATGATTTTCTTGAAGGCAGACCTTACGGCAGATTGTTAAGTTATGATCCATTAACTAAACAGACCAAAACGCTACTTCGCGACCTGTATTTTGCTAATGGTGTTGCAGTCTCTCCAGATCAAAATTTTGTTATTTTTTGTGAAACCCCTTTGTAAGTCTTCAATTCTTTTAGTATTTCTTTAGCGGGCACCTTGATTTTCTGTTCAATTATTTCTATTTCCAATGGTTATAAATTGTAGGAGGATATGCAAGAAATACTACGTAAAAGGTGAAAGAAAAGGATCGGTGGATGTGTTTGTTGAGAATTTGCCTGGATATCCTGACAACATTCGTTACGATGGTGACAGTCATTATTGGATTGCATTTGCCACAGTAAGTTGAATATGCTAGTGTTTGTCATGAGCATATTCAGTAGTATATTTTTGCTGATAATTACTTCACAGGCGAAGACATATTCATGGGACTTGGCACAAAGATACCCATTCATCAGAAAGATAATGGCTATAATGGTGAAGTATGTTGGTCAGCCTCATGCAGAGAAAAATGGGGGTGTTGTATCTGTTGATTTACAAGGAAATCCGGTTGAACACTATTATGATCAGGACTTGACAATGGTGTCAAGCGCCACAAAGATTGGTGATCATTTGTACTGTGGTTCTGTAAAGTCTCCTTTCATGCTTCGCCTCAATCTGAAACAAAATCCTGCAGTTCATACTTCATAAAACACAGTTTTTTTTGCGCTGCAACCACCAAATAGAACTAGGGTCATCATCCTCTAGAGACAAACTACATAAGACATGCTGTAAAAGGTTATTTTTCAGCTCCATACTCTAATAGAATGTTTAATAGTTTATGAGTTTTCTTCTGCTAATAATATTTTATGAGATTTCTTGGAGTTTATGCTCGATCTGACTTCCTCAGATATCTGATAAAAGCTGCAGGAGCAAGATTAATAAAACACAAATATACTGTTTTAGGAGTACAACATTTCTTTTGCTCAGGATCATCTCATATCTATTGCTCATATTTTCTAATTTTATTACTTTAATTTATTTCTCTGTGACTTGGATGATCCAAGTGAGAGAAGCATACCCTCAATTTATACGGGAAGAAACCGCCATCAGATACATTATCAATGACACTAGCAGCCCCTCTTCGACCTTCCTTCATTAAATTGCTCAATTGCCAATACTGCTTCATTTTCTTCTTTTTTTGAATATTTTGTTTTCCTTTATTTAGCTCGGATTCTGTCTACGTCCCTCCCCTTTCCCTTACATTTCTTCTTCTTCTTTCTTTAATGTTTTTCTTTGTGTTATGTTGCATGCCCTGCTTGAAATTTGAGTTTGGCAGCACATGATGTGACCTCAATAGTACAAGAAAATTTAAAGCTTAGTTGAATAGAGAACACATGTTGTAATGAGACCCGGCTTAACTGAAGATAAACAAGGATTAAAACCAAACCACAAGTGGAATCTTTTCTTAGCTTCGAAAGATGCATAAAGAGGACTGCTGCTTCTTTCTATTTAAGAAAGACTGCCCAAGGCCTGTGCTTTTTCCCTTAGGATAAACTTTTTTACTTTTCCAGTAGAAGTTATTGGCAGATCTTCAAAAATGACAGTCCGAGGTGCCATATAATGAGGCAAATGATCCCGACAGAATTTGATTATTTCTTGAGCATCAACGTTGAATCCCTCCTCCAACTTGACGAATGCTCAAGGTGTCTGTCCCCAGTGATCATCTGGTATTGCTACTACAGCTGCTTCAAGGACTGCATGATGACTGCATAAAACTCTTTCCACCTAAACCGAGCAAATATTTTCACCACCCGAGAGTATAATATCCTTGATCGCGATCCTTCACTTCGATGTAGCCATCTGGATGTCTAACAGCAAGATCACCTGTATGAAACCATCCACCTCTATAGCTTCTTCTGTTGCTTTAAGATCTTTTAAGTATCCGCTCATCATAGTATTCCCTCTAAACATAATTTCACCCAGTCTTACCATCTTCTGGCACCCGCTCCATTGTGAGAGTATCTTTTACATCAACTTCCTGCATCGAAAAGTGTGGCACTCCTTGTCTTGCTTTACGAACATATCTTTCATCGGGAGGTAAAGTTTCCCACTCTGGCTCCCAAAGGCAAGATGTACAGCGACCATTCTCCGTGAGCCCATATAGATGAGATACGGAAAATCCTAACTCCTCCATCTTGGAAAGGATATCCAGAGGTGGTGAACCACCTGTCATTATGTCAACCTTGTGAGGAAGTGGTTTTCGGTCACTTGGGGGTGAATTTGCAATCATAGTAAGGGCAGTTGGTGCTGCGCTCATATGTGTGACCTTGTGGAGGGATATGTTATCAAATATGTCCTTTGTAGAGACGCGTCTTAGGAAAACATTAGTGCCACCAAGTGCAGCCAAACCCCAAGCAAGGCACCATCCATTGCTGTGAAATGTTGGAACAGTCCAAAGATATGTAGGCATTGAGCCCATCTCATGAATAAAAGAAGCAGCAATTGCACTGAGATATGCACCTCTGTAATTGAAAACAATTCCTTCGTGATGTTGTCCCAGAAGTATAGTTAACAGTTAACACTAATAGGGTCAAATTCACTTAATGGCCGCCTTATAGCAAAATCATTGTTTCCAGTTGCCAGAAGAGTTTCATATTCATTAATGTAAGAAGTTGCAACATAAGGGAGATTTTCAGAATCAGGGATTAATACGAGGAGAGTTTTGTTTTGTCATCTGCAAGAAGATCCAGTGCTCCTTGCGCAACATCAACCAACTGCTGGTCAACGAAAATGATTTTAGCTTATGAATGCCTCAGGAAAACTGATATCATAGCTGAATCATGGCGTGGGTTCAATGTACAAAGCCCTGCTCCTGCGATTGGCACTGCAAAATGCAATTCTTGTACTGCAGGTACATTAGGGGCCACTGTTGCAACCTACAGAAGAATTTAAAATTACAACCTGAGAATTTAAGGGTTGAGATGACTAGCTTACAGGAAAGATATTTTTTGTTGTTGTTGTTGTGTGTATATGATTACACCGTGATATATTTGTTAGTTTTTCCAACAATTATGGTGATGTATGGGAGAGGTAAGCAATGATGCAACTCTCCTTAGTGAGATAAGCAATGATGCAATGAGTGGTAGGTGAGATGGGAATATTGCAAATTGATCCTTCTTGGTAGGTGAGATTTGCACTTTTGGTCCCTATCTCAAAACTATAAATACCCCCTTCCATTTCATTGTATAACACACCAAAAAANTTTTGCCGACAGTTCCAGAATGACCAGAAGAAGAACAAAGGCAAAAAGGTGAAGCCCGAAGAAAGCAGTGATGATGAAACGAACTCCTTTGGTGAGTTCAACGTTGTCTACGATGACGACATTATCAATCTGACAACCCAAGAGATGACCTGGGTGATTGATAGTGGGGCTACCATTCATGCGACGCCACGGAGAGAACTCTTCTCATCTTACACACCTGGAGACTTTGGTCGTGTAAAGATGGGAAATGCCAATTTCTCAACAGTTGTAGGCAAAGGTGATGTTTGCCTAGAGACCATGAATGTGATGAAGCTACTTTTAAGAGATGTCAGGCATGTTCCAGATATGCGCCTCAATCTGATCTCCGTAGACAAGCTCGATGAGGAAGGTTACTGCAATACCTTCTATAATGGCCAATGGAAGCTCACGAAGGGCTCATTGGTGGTGGCGCGGGGCACGAAGCAGTCAA